GTCCAAAACCTTTACGATTTTAGTGTAAAGGTTTGAAAAATCCGTTTTCTGCATGTGAGGCGGTTTTAGGCGGTATGAGGCGGTCCGAGGTGGTCAAAACTTTAAGGCGGGTCAAACTTCAGTGGCAAAAATTGGCCAAAAATCGGTCAAAAATCAGTTTTTTTTTTTTTTTTTTTTTTCAAAATAAAAGCTGGAATTTTAGTAAAAAAAATGAGTTTATGCTTTTATTTTGTTTATGTTAACTCTTATTGTTAAAGAACTAATGATGTATGCCAGGAATGTTCAAGAATAAATGTAAATTCAAAAAAAATTGCCTTTGTATTTATATTTCATAAGGATATTTATGTATTATGATCTTATTATTATTAAATTTTTTTTATGTTATTAGGATATGTACATGATGGAGATATAACTATGTTTAAATATCTTTTTATATATGTTTTTAGTATTTATAAATAATATCTAGAAATATATTATATTTAATTTAAAAAACCGATTTATTTCTGATTTATCACCGATTAATCACCGCCGCACCGATTAATTGTGAGCCGGTCCGTGACCGCCTCCGACCCGATTACCGCTTTTTACAACATTGGTATTAGGATTATGATTAGCATTAGGATTGGGATTAGAATTATAATTAAGATTAGAATTAAAATTAAAATTAGCATTATTAGTATTAAAATTATTAGGCTAATGATTAGTGTTAGGAATAAGATTATGGTTAGGATTACGATTAGAACTATTATTAGTGTTATGAATAGAATTAGGAATACAATAAGGATTTGGATAATATTAGAATTACAATCATAATTAGCATTAGCATAATAATTAGCATATCTAGATTGGCATTAGCATCAAAATTATTATTAGCATTAACATTAATAATATTAACATATTAGTATTAGTAATAGTATTAGTATTAATATTAGTATTAGTATTGGTATTAGAATTAATATTAGTATTAGTATTGGTATTAGTATTAGTATTAGTATTAATATTAGTATTAGTATTAGTATTAGTATTAGTATTAGTATTAGTATTAGTATTAGTATTAGTATTAGTATTAGTATTAGTATTAGTATTAGTATTAGTATTAGTATTAGTATTAGTATTAGTATTAGTATTAGTATTAGTATTAGTATTAGTACAAATATTGGTAATAACATAAGTATAAGTATCCGTATTAATATTATTATCGATATCAGTATAAGTATCAGTATCAGTACCACAATATGTATCAATACCAATATCAGTACCAGTATCAGTACATTATTAGTATCGATATCAATATCGATATCAGTATCAGCATCAGTATCAATATTAACATTAGATCATTAGCATTAAAATTAGTTTTAGCATTTATATTAGTATTAGTAATAGTATTAGTATCAATGTTAGTATTAATATTACTATTAGTAATAATATTAGTATTAGTACTAATATTAGTATTAATATTAGTATAAGTATCTGTATCAGTATTAATATCGATATCAGTATCAATATCAGTATAAGTATCAGTATCGGTATCAATATCAGTATCATTATATGTTATCAGTATCGATATCAATTTCAGTATCAAAATCAGTATGAGTATCAATATTAGTATCAATTTCAGTATTAGTATCGGTATCAATATTAATATTAGTATCAATATTATTAGTATAATATTAGTATTAATATTAATATTTTTATCAGCATCAGTATCAGTATGAGTAACAATATTAGTATCAGTATTAGTAATAATATTAGTATTAATATTAATATTACTATGAGTATCAATATGACTATCAACATCAGTATCAATATTAACATCAGTATCAGTATCAGTATCAGTATCAGTGTCAGTATCAGTATCACTATCAGTATCAGTATCAATATTTGTATCAATATCAGTAAGCATTAATATTAGTAGTAGTAATATTATTAGTATTAGTATTAATATTAGTATTAGTATTAGTATTAGTATTAGTATTAGTATTAATATTAGTATTAGTATTAGTATTAGTATTAGTCTTAGTATTAGTATTAAGATTAGTATTAGGATTACAATTAGTATCAGTATGAGTATCAATATTAGTATTAGTATCAATATTAGTATCAGTAGTACTATTATTATTACTATCAATATTAGTATTATTATTAGTATTTGTATTAGTATTAGTATTAATATTGATATTAGTATTAGTGTTAATATTAGTATTAGTATTAGTATTAGTATTAGTATTAGTATAAGGATTATTATCAGTATTAGTATCAATATTGATATCAGTATTGATATTATTATTGGTATTGGCGTATACATCTTATCTCTTTTGCAATAATTATAAGTTGTGTTGTTGTTTGAGTAATGTGCATCACTAATTGAATGTTGTTAGTGATAAACTTGCACGTTATTTGAATATCTATTGTGTTACCTCTATGCTACTGTGTTTATTGTTAAGTTAGTTATTTTGCAGAGGATTCACATGGTGTAGTAAATTGCATTCCATGAAATAGAATTCTACCATATGTTTTAAATTATTTTACTTAATCTTCATATCGTGCTTTGCGCCATTCGCGTATTTTTCTTTGTAATATTTAATTGAATTTCATATGTTACAACTCTGAATTAAGAGATAATTTTTTTTTTTTTCCTTCCATTTTGTTTTACTTAAATTGGTGTTGTTATAAAGAAATAATCGTTTAAATATTATTATTTTTCTCATTTTGAAACTGATATACGTGCAACGCACGGGTGAAGTACTAGTATTCATAATATTATTGTCCCAAACAGTAATATTACTGTCTAAGACAGTAATTTAGTAGGCAAGACAGTAATATTAATTAAAATATTTTTTTCTAATAAAAAAAAATTCGGGAAAAATAGATAACGTCGGAGACCGGCGGTCAACGGTGGTTGACCAGCCGGAAAAAAAATTTCAGAAAAAAAAAGTTTTCAAAAAAAAAAAAGAAGAACTTTTAAATCCAGGGTCAACGCTGGAATCTGGTCGAAAAAAAATTCAGAAAAAAAATTATTGTCTGTAAAAAAGAAGAACTTTTAAAAAATTATTATTTTGGGGGTTAATGTGATATATTTGTTTAAATCCATGGTGAATGTGTAATATTAAGGAAGTTAGAGCATAATGAATGGAATTGATAAGAATTATATTATGGAGAGTATTTTAGACTAAAGATATGGGGATGAAATTATTTGAGAGACTATTGTTTTTGTGCACTACAAGAAAAATGAATTTTAGTGACAACGAATGTTGTCACATTAGATCATTAAATTGTCACAAATGAAATTTAGTGTCAATACAATATTGTCACTATGTTGTCACTAATTATGTGTCGCTAATGCTTATTGGTAATAACTTACAAAATATTGTCACTTTAGATTTTAGTTATAGTGACAACATTCATGTTGTCACTAATAAAATAAATCTAGAGTGACAGCTTGAATGTTGTCACTCATTCACTACATTTTGTGAAGCATATTTGTACACATTTATGTTTGCCCTGAACACCAAACAATAAAAGAAATCCAATATTATAAATATAGAGACACTATTTCAATCAAAATCTCTTTACAAATCAAGACATATAACAACAAATAACAAAAATAACATTTACCAAATATTTTTTCCTGACAATACGATTTGTCGAAAGAAAGTCATAGATTGTAAACTAGTCTGATCAGTCGTAAACCTAACTATAATCAGACAAGAACTCCGTAAATTGCAGCAACAATACAATCGATATCATTTCTTTCTCTTCCATGTTTCTTTTTATCAATTGAACCTGCTATTTGCAAATTATATATTTACGCTCGAATATATAATAAATGTGTTGTTTAAAGAAGATTAATCAAAATAAGACCACTTTTTGGGTGTTATGTATTGTACTAATCGTCACACAATTGCGGTTCCATGGCTCGTAACTGGAGTTTGAGCTATGTGCTCTCATTACTCAGCCCTAATGTATCTCTCTGTAAGAGAACAATAATCCAAATTTGAAATTAAAAAAATATTTGTTTATATGTTACAAAAGATCTAGCACTGTAAAATTTCAGAACAAAACACAACAAAAAACATCCCACGACTTTTCAGAATGTAAAGGAACAGAATCGAAACCTAATTGCGAAAATTACAGAGACGAGGAATTAAATAATCGACAGAGATCTAAAAAATTGGAAAAATAATTACAAAGAAACGAAAAAAAATCAGTGAAAGATGTCTGGGCTGGGAGTAATTTTTGGCTGGGTTTGGGTTTTCCCCTTGCTATCGTACTTGTGAGAACGATGAAATCCCCTTGTAGGAAAACAAAGTGCCAACTTTTGTTTTTGAACTAAAGTGCAATTTTGCATATATCCCTTTTTTTTTCTTCCAAATAAAGTCATATTTATAATTGGCAAAATATATTATGTATACATTTTTATTTTTGTTTTTTTACTTAATTATAATATGTTTTGTATTTTTAATTAATAAAACAAAATCAGTTTCTTTTTTTTTACTTCATTTTTTTGTCTTGGGCTAATTAGTAGATCTCTCATTTCAATTAATTAATTTTTTGATAAAATATAATTAAGTACTTGTAATTTTTTTTTTCTATCAAAGTACTCAAACCTCAATTTTTTTTTTTTTGCCTTTAAGAATGAGTTTGATTAAGAAAGTATCATCAATGACAATAGTATGTTATCACTAAAAGAAATATGGTTTTGGTGACAATAAATAAGTTGTCACTAAAGAAAAGTGATCATTGGTGACAAGTTATATTTTATCACTAAATAGAAGTTATCATTAATGACAACTTATATGTTGTCAATAAAAGAAAGTATTATTAGTGATAAATGATAATAAGCATGTTGTCATTAAAGATAAATAACTATTAGTGATAAAAATGTATATTTTGTCACTTAATATAGTTGTCTAGTGATGAAATTCATCTTGTGACATACTTTGTTGTCACAAATTAATATTTTTCTTGTAGTGGTGGACCAATGTGCATTTAAATCTCATGTAATGGGCATTTTTGCCATTCGCCCTAAAATATAATTAGGGAGTAATTTATGTTATAATTATTATGAAAATCCTTGTGATTGTGTTTTAAACAATTACTAATCTTGATTCAAATTATATTCATGTAATATAATAAAATATTTGATATAGTGTATTTCATTCAAATTCATACGTTTGACTCTAGCATTGAAACTACTTGCCTTAATATATAGGTGCAGAAGGAATTGATGGATAATCAAAATTAGAGATCAGATATTATTACGCTAATTTATTGGAAGAAATTCATGAATGGAAACAAATAAAATAATTTTTTAGGGTTTGACTCGGAAACTTTATTGGAGTAATTGTATTGTAATCTCGTCCAAATTAGAAAATATACACTATTTCCACAATGTTCAAATTCTTCTCACCATCAACGTATACATATACATATTTATCTATATCTATATATATATGTATAGATGCATATTCAAGAATCATTCCATCAAATATGAGTTTCATCATCACTTCATTTCTAGGTCTCATCTGCATACTCAATTTTCATCAATTTCTCAAAGCCGAAAAGCTCGATGTATACATCGTCCATGTCGATCCTTCACATTCCGACGATCTCGATACGTTTTACGATTCATTCTTGCCGACGATTACCAATGTAGCTGCCGACTCAACCAATAGTACTACCGACCGGCCGAGAATACTGCACCGCTACCGCCACGTGTTTTCCGGTTTCGCCGCCAAATTATCCGCAGCCGATGTCGAAGCAATGCGGCTGAAGAAGGGTTTCGTCTCGGCCCGGCCAGAAAGGGTGTTGCGTCTGCTCACCACGCGTTCTCCCAGTTTCTTGGGGTTGAACCAAAACACGGGCTTATGGAAAAACTCCAACTACGGCAAGGGCACCATCATCGGCATGGTGGATCTCGGAGTCGAGCCCAGCCACCCGTCCTTCGCCGACGGGGGGATGCCGCCGCCGCCTGCGAAATGGAAGGGCGAGTGTCAGTTCCGCGCCGGCAAGGGGGCATGCAACAATAAGCTGATCGGAGCTAGATTCCTCGTCCCTGAAATTTCGCCACCGACCGACATAGAAGGCCACGGCACACACACCTCCAGCACCGCCGCCGGGAACTTCGTCGCGGGCGCCGGATTCTTCGGCAACGCCAACGGCACTGCCTCTGGAATCGCGCCGCTAGCTCACCTGGCGGTGTACCAAGCGTGCGAAAACACGACCAGCTGCCCGGAGAGTGCTATCGGCGCCGCCATTGATGCCGCCATCGACGACGGCGTCGACATACTCTCGATGTCCCTCGGAGGGCAGCTTCACCCCCGCTTCGCCGACGATGTTCTCGCGGTCGGCGCTTACAGGGCCATGGAGAGGGGTATTATCGTCAGCGCCGCTGCCGGTAATGCCGGCGGGTCCAGTAGTGTGACTAACGAGGCCCCGTGGTTTATGACAGTCGGAGCCAGCACCACCGACCGGAGAATAACCGTCACCGCGGTTCTCGGAAACGGCGAGCAAATAGACGGAGAAACCGGCAAGGGTTTCCCCTCTATCGAAAAGTTAGAACTTGTTTACCCTCGAGGTCGCGGCGGAAATAGAGCTTGTCTTGGCCAGTTGGACCCCAATATTAGAGGAAAGATAGTTGTGTGCCAAAATGGTCTTCTAGTTGACGGAATCGGGTCCGGAATGGCGGTAAAAGCTTATGGTGGGGCCGCTGTGATTATATTGAACACCAAATATGAAGGTGACACCACTTACGATGATCCGAACGTTCTTCCAGCAATGCAAGTCGGTTATGTAGATGGCCTCAAGATAATCGAATATTTGGATTCGACTCCAAATGCCACGGCCGCAATGTTGTTTAAAGGAGCTGTTATAGGTAACAATCAGGCTCCAGTTGTGGCTGAGTTTTCCTCAAGGGGTCCTAGTCGGGTCACTCCAGGTATTTTGAAGCCGGATATTATTGGTCCTGGAGTTAACATTCTTGCAGCCTGGCCCGTTTCTGTTGAAAACCCAACCAACACAAAGTCCAGATGGAACATAATCTCGGGTACGTCAATGTCGTGCCCTCATCTCAGTGGGGTCGCAGCATTGCTCAAAAGCGCGCATCCTGATTGGTCGCCTGCGGCCATCAAGTCAGCAATCATGACCACTGCGGATCAAGTGAACATCAAAGGCAATCCGATCGAGGATGAACAATTGCATACCGCCGATGTCTTTTCTATTGGTTCGGGCCATGTTAATCCTACACAGGCAAATGATCCGGGCTTGGTTTATGATATCTCGCCAGACGATTATATCCCTTATTTGTGTGGCTTGAACTACACGAACCAGGAAGTCGGCATCATTGTTGGGCGTAAGGTGGATTGCGCGAAAGTGAAAAGCATTCCCGAGGCTCGATTGAATTATCCCGCGTTTTCGATTGTACTAACGGGACCGACTAATCAATTTTTCGCGACTACGAGAACATTGACAAACGTCGGTAAGCCTAATTCATCGTATCACGTTGAGATTGGTTCGACGGCTGAGGGTGTTTTCGTGGAAGTGAAACCCGAGGTACTCTTCTTTCAAAAGTTGGGCGATAAACTGAGCTACAATGTAACGTTCACCGTAATAAGAAGTACCAGAAAGGTGACGAATACTACTACTCAAACTCAAGGATTTATTGCGTGGACTTCTGCCGACTACTCTGTTAGAAGTCCCATAGCATTTGTAATTTAATTTCCATTATTTTTAATTATTATTTTTTCGGTGATGGATGACATTTTTCTTAATAAAAATCAATAAGGACTAGATTGCAAATTTTTCTTAAGGAGTTCAACTTTTATCTACTTTTTTTTTTTTTTTTGAATTGATGCTTCTGGTGAAGTTTATTACACTGCATGGACAGTAAAAATGGCTGTTGGGCTCGATATTTAAATTCAATTGTTAGTACTCAGTCTTAAGTCCATACAATAAAACAAAACTATTTCATGTTTATTTAAATCGACCAAGTCTGGTTCTTAGGATAGGCGGCTTCCAATTTATTTAATTAAATTTATAATATATAGTTATTGCCTTATTGGAAACTCTATTGGGCTCGAGTTCCAGGATTTCAAGTGAAAAAAGTAAATTTCCAACGATCGAAATCGTGGAAGGTGTTCGAGAAGAGCGAATGTTGGTGGCGGTTAAATTAACCTCTAACAATATTATTTACTAAATAGTAATATTCATACGATCACATTAGGAAATATACACTTTATATATACATCCTCGCCGACTAGAATTCAGAATTGTTTTCCTCTTACATTGTTGTTGTATGATTGTATCTGTAGCATTGTTAGAAAAACCTACGACTGACTGACTGACAGCTGTAATTTATATAATATATATTTAAGATTACAATATTAAATTAGAAAGCCTCCACCATAATTGATGATGCTATACTATTATTATTAACTGATCTCCCAATTTCTTTTTCTTCCTCCTCCTCAACTTCCCACATGAAATTCGCATACGAACCCATTATCATACTGCCACAATTAAACATATTATTAGAACATAATCAAACATGTGATCTAGAGAGAGAGAAATCTAGAGAGAGAGAGAGAGGGAGTTAGTATTAATGTACCAATTGTGAGGGGAAGCTAGAAGAGCTTGGTTGAAGTAAAAATTAGCTCTGTTTTCATCTCTATGTATATCCCATATCAATTTTCCATACAGTGAAAGTACTTCTCCATCACATTCACCTGGGTTTGCCAATATTGCCCTCCCATAATACTCTTCTGCTTTCACCACATCTTTCTCCACCTGTTTTTTTTTTTTTTTTTCCAATGCATTCATAATCAATTTTCTGTTTTTTTTTTCTTTAATTTATTTTCGGTAAATAATTAATGGAGTAAACACCTGTTTATGCAACCAACCCACCAAACCTCAACAAAATCCGTACGAAATTCGCCATCGAAAAGACCTAAATTCATGAAACAAAATAAAAAATGCAGAATACTAAAAAATGATTAAATAGACTGCAAATACATTTGAATGACAATACAGTAATATCATCAAAAATAAACTTAAAATGCAAAATCCATACACTAAATTAAAAAAAACTACGAAATATATTTTAATGTACTACCGAGCACACTAAAATCGACTATTGTAAACAAATAAACCAACTATCAATATGGATCAAACTCATGAACTCGATCACATCAGACATTTATTTCGATTATTGCATAAACCAACTACGACGCTCATATAAAACAACTCTGGTTCGACTGCGTGAACCATCCTCTTCTATCTCTTTGAATCCTCTTCCAAACAAACATCATCAGCCAAAAAAAACGATGTATATGTGACGACGTAATTTTGTTAAAAAACGTTCTACTTAATAGAATCAAGTATCAACACAACTCTTAAAAATGTCTAACCACCGTACACGACAACCCTGGACATACAACGAAAATAAAAAACGAAAAAAAACGCATTCATACCCGCTTAACAACATATAACAATGAACGCTCAAATCCGATCCTATTTCCACGCCGGTGGAAAAATCTTCAAAGACGATAGAAAAATGATGAAACGCTGGAGAAAATCTTCAAAACAGATTGTACACGATTTGATAGAAACGGCCAATAAACTCACGTAAATTTATTCCGTGATTTTAGGCAACGTATCAGCAGATCTCATATCACGTAGTTAAGGAAATAAATGCCGTTCAAAAATAAAACAGGGGTATTAAAGGGAAATTATATAATATATTTTGCCAAATTGGCAAATTTGGGTGCATCTCAAAAAGGGAAAAAATAATTGGATCTACCTCATTAGAAAATATGAACAAGGGGGTTATCCCTAATAAACCCGAAAAAAATTCATAAAAAAAACTCAAAAAGAAAAAAAATAAAAAAGTCAACGCCGGAGACCGACGGTCTCCAGTGGGAGCGGGTCATAATTGGAATCAAAATTGAAATTATGGTCAAAATTGGTTACTTGGTGAAATTGTACTAAATTGGGGTGTAAATCATCAAATTGGAGTTAAATTGAGATTCAATGAATTGGGTGTAATTTTGGAATATATAAAAGGGTTTTCCTTATTTGCAAATAAGTTTGAACGAACTGAAATATTTGAAAGACAAAAAAGTTGGAGGTCCCTTTTTGAATTAAGTGCCCTTGTCATGGCCCATGAGCCTATTTGCCATTTGTCCTATAAAATAAGCCTTTTTTAAAATTAATTTTGGGCAAATGGCAAAAAAGGACATACCAAGGGACTTAACTGCACATTGATCCACAAAAAAAAAAAAAAAAACAGTCTTAAAAATAAACCCATCCCCATGTCTTTAGTCTAAAATATCTTCCATAATATAATTTTTATCAATTTCATCCATTATACTCTAACTTTCTTAATATTACACATTGACCCCATATTTAAACAAATATATCACAATAACCTCCATTCTAAGAATTTTTCTGAAACAATATTTTTTTTAAAATAATTTTTTTTCTTATTTTTTTTTTCCGGCCAGATTCCGACGTTAGACTTATTTTTTTGAAACTTTTTTTTCAGCTAGTCTCCGGCGTTGACTTTTTTTTTTTTTCTTTTTTGCAATTTTTTTTCTTACAAAAAATATTTTAATTAATATTACTGTCTTGGCTGCAAAATCACCGTCTCAGACAGTAATATTACTGTTTGGGAGAGTAATATTATGAATATTATTTTCCCGAACAGTAATATTACTAATATTACTGTCCCAAACAGTGTATTATTGCATGAGGCAGTAACAGTAAGGTCGGAGACTGTAATATTACAGTCGAAGCCAGAAAAATTGTAGACCAAGACGATAAAATTAGTTAATACAGTAATATTATTGTCTTAGACGGTTAAATTACTGTTGGAGACAGTAATTTAACAGCCTAGACAGTATATTAACTAAAATCATTATTTTAAGAAAAAAAAATTTCAAAAATAGAAAAATAATTAACAATTAAATTACTGTCTCCGACAGTTAAATAACAGTAATTTAGCAGCCAAGACAGTAATATTAATTAAAATATTTTTTTCAAGAAAAGAAAAATAAAAGTCAATTGACAGTTAAATTACTGTCTTCGACAGTTAAATAACTGTTGCAGACAGTAATTTAGCAGCCAAGAGAGTAATATTAACTAAAATATATTTTTAAGAAAACAAGGTCAAGTAACAGTTCAATTACTGTCTCCGACTGTTAAATAATTGCTGGAGACTGTAATTTAGCAGTCAAGATAATAATATTAATTAAAATATTTTGTTATGAAAAAAAAAAAAAAGTTAACGCCGGAGACCCGACGGTTAACGACGGTTGACCTACCGAAAAAAAAGGGTTAATGCCGGAGACCGACGGTCTCCGGGTGTCAACGACGGCTGACCGGCGGTCTCCGGTGGTGGCGGGTCAAAATTGGGATCAAAATTAAAATTATGGTCAAAATTGGTTAATTGATGAAATTTGACTAAATTGGAGTGTAAATCATGAAATTGAAATTGAATTGGATTTTAATGAATTGGGGGTAATTTTGATTTATATAAAATGGTTTTCCTTATTTACAAATAAGTTTGAATGAGATGGAAATATTTGAAAGACAAAAAAATTGGATGTCCCTTTTTGATTTAAGTGCCCTTGTGATGGGCCTATTGCCTATTTGCCATTAATTTTTGAGGTGTTTGAGTGTGTATCTTATAAGTTACTTTCATATTTTATAAGTTGTTCAAGTATTTGAAAGTATAAGTTATTTTTATCTTTGTAATGTTAAAATAGTACATGACATTATTTGAACTTTTTCGAACATATTTATTTCATTACAATTGTTTAACTTACAATTTTTCTCTAATATTGTTTTTTCCGAAAATATTATTGTAATACTTATAAATTACATTAGTTTCAATTAAGAAAAATCATATAAAATTCTAATAAATTAAAAATAAGGTATATAAAAAAACTTCTCTCTCTATGAGAGGCACCTTCTCTCTTCATGAGAGACATCCCCCGTCAAATTGCTACAGAGATCTCCCCTTGCTGATTATGGCTTCGTTCTCCCTTGTTCTTTGTTTAAGTTTGTCCATGGAATGAGTTGCTGGTGTTTAATTCATGTGGTTTAAATTCTGGATAGTTTTGTTCTAGGGTTTTCTCGGTCATTTTATGTTTATTTACGGCGCTTTTATTTTCTTTCTTTCATATCGTTATTTCTATTTCAATTCTTACCCTAACCCTACTTCCCGCTCTGCACCTATTTTCTGTCCACCACAGATCTCAGACATAAGCTGCGCAAGTGCTTGTTGCATATAGTTGTGTTCCCCTTTCATCTTCACTCTCTCATCTCCATAACGGAAACTCTGGGCAAGAAAATCGCCCTAACCGTAGAGGAAGAGGAGGGAATCGTTATCGACTTAGGGGAGCATGGAACAGAGGTTAGCGAGAACAAACATCGAATACTTGGGTGAGTCGTATTGGCAAGGGAAATATCTTTCCACACAATTAAATCTAATACTATTCGATTACTACCGCCGGTTAAGGAATGCGAAGTTCAATCTATTGGGGTCAACAGGTTCATGATGAAATTTGAACACATTCCAGACAAAAAACATGCGCTAGAGGGATGCCCGTGGATATTAGAGCGCCACGCCTTAGGTTTTCGAGATCTAGCTTTGGGGGAGAATGCGAATGATATGGAGGTGAATTTGATGAACATAGTGTTGGTCCCGATACATAAAAGGGGTAGTGAATTTAGTAAATTGGTTGAACAAATTAATTAATTGTTGGAAATCTGCTATGAACGAGAATTTTGCCGAGGCGAGTTGTCTCTGTCCTTAAGACGAAATTTCCCCGCAACGGTGCTAACGGATTAAATGGAAATCGTCTCCCAAGATACAACGGCAAAACTTGGAATAGGAGCACTCCAAATCCCAAGTACGACGAACTGTACTTTGTGTAGAACTTTTCGAGAGAATCTGTGAAGGGTAGGCTTAATATGTAGTAGGCTTGTTTTGGATTGAAGTAAGGAATTTTGGGAAAGTTAGGGTCTATTTATAAGGTTCGAAAAGTAGTGTCCTTTGGAGCAAAAAGGTACCTTTTGTTTTGAATGGTTGCACCATTTCGAGTTGAGCCAATTGGGAGTGGTTGCACCATTTCGAGTTGAGCCGAATGGTTTGCATTGGTTCGGCCGCACCAATTCAGACCAATCAGACCAATCGAGATGGGCTTCGAGTAATAAGGGCCCAATGGGTTAAAAACCCATGACCTAATGTTTTTGGCCCGTCCCAATATTTTGATATATATACAGCTCAGTACTTCTCTACTTTTCCAATGTGGGATAACTCAAATCCCAATTTCCTTATATTTTGGACTAGTAATTTTTTCATTCACCACAAAATTGGTTCTAATCCAAAATTCATTTATATACTCAATTAGACCGTACAATAACATTGATAAAAAATTGTTCATGACTCAATTTTTAACCAATTTTCCCAACAATCCCCCACATGAATGAAAACGAGGGCGTCGATTCTCTCTAGAGTTCCCGCGAATAGTATTGCATCGGGATAGGTAGCATATAGCTTTGAACCTTCCGTAGTGGAGTTACATCGGATTTACTAGACTGAGTAGTGAACGCGATGTCTTGAACTGTCAGCCGTTCGTGTAAACCAAGACAATGCAACCCACACAATACTATTCTCACATTTTCCTTAGTTCTCATGATTGTGTCCGTTTTGGCCATGGACACACATCTTGGATTCATAAGTGTTTGTCAAGTTTTTGAAGCGGCCCTCACTTCATACACTTACACAGGTGATCTCCTATTAAAGGTATCCTG